CAGAAAGATAAAAGTTTCTCCAATCTGAAAAGACGGGAGAGTACTTAAGTATCTATTTTATGATTAACTTAGTGATTGAATAACCGTGTCACAATTGATCCTCTAAGTAAATCTTAGTACAATAGTATGGATAAGAAGAGGAATCAGAAATTGTTGAAATGGTTAAATCAAAAGGTGAATCATACTTCGTTCCAAAATCAAGTCTTAGAGTCATACTCCAAGATTATGACTTGAGTGACACATCTTAAGAAGTTTTTAACACACTCATCAAATGTGGAGTAGAAGAAAATGTTTTTCTTAATCTTACACGTTTGAAATTGGTAAGTTGTGATGTCTTGGATAAGGCAAAGACCAACTAAGACCAATGGTGTGTAGTGTTTGCCTTGATAAGGACCTACACTAACTATTGAATATTTGTTTTGTCAAAAAATGTTTCTTGACAAGAGAATCTTATATGTCAAGAGATCAGTGGGAGTCTTAATGATCTTGAAAAGTTTCAAGAACTAATCAAGGGTAAACCTATTGTTAAACACTAGCACACGACTTGAGGTTTGTAACCTATCGTGTTGACACATTTTTTGTTTCTGTGTCATTCCAGTTTAAGTCAACTATGTATATATGAGTTCTATGAGTTCTCAAATGATTGCATAGAGGCAAGGGATCTTGATCAATGGAAAGTACATTGATAGGTTGGGGCGAACTGCTAAAAGACTTGGAAGCAATGGTGGGACCCTTGATGGCAAGAAATAAAGAATGAACAAGTTCTGTCCATAAGAGTTTGGATTTGTCACAAACATTATCTTAAGATTATGGTTATGAAAAATCCACATGGATAGGAACATATACACCATAAAATCTAAGTGTCATAAAGTTTCTCTCCTTCATGAAAATGATTGTGAGGAAATGCTTTCACTAGGAAGATTTTAATGAGATAGAGATTATGTAAATTGCATTCTCAAATTCGATTATGACTACGGCATCCCTCTTCATAGTTCGAATTGTGAGATTTGGCAATTAGTTTGAACATTCGAGACTTATTGCTATAAGTTCTAGAATTGTTTAGACACACATGTGAGCTATCTAAGGAAATGTGTATGAGTTGTTTTCTAGAAGCCTAGATAAAAGATTGTCGAAGCGTATCGTATTAGAAATATGATCTTTGGAAATCAATAAGTATTGTTTTCTAGAAGTTTAGCAGATTTCTGAATACGTGTCAAAGCTAGTGGGAGCATAAATATTACGCTGGTATGGATATAATCATCATGTTAGTGAGAGCATGATTATTATTTTAAGTGTTGCAAGTTAGCAATGTTAAGTATAGAAAACAAAAGGTTCACATTGAAAAATTTCAGGGGTTGAAAAGTTGTTTTGCTATAATTAAGGGAGAGAATATTGTACTTTGTTTCGAAATCTAAAAGCTTAGATCGAGAAATTGTAATCAAATTTAGTCAAGGATATATTAATTGCGTTCTCAAGATTCGATTATGATTACGGCATCCCTCTTCATAGTTCGAATTGTGAGAAGGTGACAAATAGAAATATTATGGCAAATGGCTGATAAAGTATCATGCTTTTATGTAAGACATTATGAATCGTGTCCTATACGCTTCATGTATAGGATCGATTGCATATGCTGTAATATTTGACCATTCTAAAATTTTCCAAATGCCTAGGGTATTAAGAGGGAAAAGGGGACTAGAAATGGTTTGAATAAAAACAATTGAACAACTGTCAACGACAATCTAAGGTTTGCTAAGGATTGGTCGCTTGTGAGCAGTTGGAAGTATAGTAATGAATGGACCATATCGACGTTATTATGAATAGATAAGAATCTATTCACAATGAGTTGTTATATGGAAAATATGGAAATGTTTTCATATTGGGAGTTGGATATTGAGAATCCATGTCTAGATTATAAACTTTTATGCAAGAAGGATGTTCAAATGAATTTACTTTGAATGTGAGACTTCGTATCTATGGAATTGCCTTGTAGCAATCTCCAATAGAGAACTTTGTAATTTCATTGGCAAAGTCTTGGTGACTTTCGTGCAATAAGATTACAAAAAGATAATTACATAAAATGTTAGAATCTAACATATTCTAATGGTGGCAAGAATTTGGTATTCTTACACTAATGATAAGGATTGGGTATTGTGAAATAAGTATCATTGAAAATGTGTTTAGTTGATCTGTTTCATAAAGTAAGGACCATAGGTAAACATAGTGTTCATGCTTGGAGCATAGGACAACTGTTGTTATAATTCAAGTAATAAGTTGATTATCCGAAACATTATACAATGAATAATGTGTAATCAATATGGTGACAAAATAAAATGAGTTTTATTTATACTCAAAAGTTTGGGGCCATATTGGATTCAATTATTCTTGTGTTTCACTTTGCATGTTTTGACTTCCCGAATAATAAGATTATTCAAACGTTCTACAGTCGTTCATATTTTGGAAGTAGGTATGAAAGAAGACCGTCGTGAATTGGTTTGTAGATTGTATAAAGTGTATTAGACATAGCAAAAGTTTGCTACAACGTTCATGAGTGCTTATGAATTAAGATTTGAGCATTGGATTATACCCACGCTCACTTGGATCGCTTCATGGATTTTATCACGAGTGATTGGTGAGACGATAATATCTTATATTCTTGAAACCGAGACGTGTGAGTTGTATTCTGCAAGTCGGTTGCACATTGATAATATGTAAACGCACCAGTAACTTGGTGTTATAAAACATATTGTTGTGTGTGATTTGATGAGTAGGTACAAACAAGCATTGAGTCGAAGTTTATCCTTTCTTTTTACCTAAAGTGTGATAAAAGCGATATATGTGGGCCCCTCGATGATTTAGTGATGACACCCTAAGCACTTGGCCGAGCCGGGACTGATTTGATGTGTTCAATTGTAGTCTGTTGTCAGTCGTCATAAATCGAAAATCGGGAAACAACACATGAACAAAGAGTATGATTAAAATCCATGTCTCAGTTCATACGATATCTAAAATAGAGGAATATATGATCCCTTATCTACAGGACGCGTATCTGATAAGATCAGAGTTCGACAGCGGCTTTTGAAAGCTACGATTGCTGATCAGGTTTCGAAGTCGTATCTGTAAAATAGTTATTAGACTTATCTAAGTGGAGACTTTTGGATTAGGTGTCTAAGCCCAAAACTATTTTGGTATGTACTTGACCCGATTGTGAGCATGATCCTTTTGGGTTGCCTTCATCAAAGCAACTTGATAGGATGATTTGTGGAGAAAGAGATTAATTATGATTTATTAATATATTATATGAATAATATATTAAGAGAGAAATCATATTGTTTAATTAATATTAGTCAAGAATTAATAAGAATTAATTTTGTGGCTAAAAGACATTAATTAAATAAAAGGGACTAGAACTGTCAATTGTGTGATAGTTGGATATTGGGCTAATGACTCCATAGAGGTTGGAGTGGACAAAATCTATGGGGAAACCCATGAGAATTCGTCCAAGGCCTATAAGGAGGGAGTCCATGGGCTGCTTAGATCCTGAGCAGTCATATTAGGATTTCCTAGTTCAAAACCCTAATAGTCTCACTATATAAGGAACCCCTAAGGCCCCAAAAACGTGTGGAAGTAATCTAAGGGTTCTTAGACATTTTTTGGTGCCTCATTCTCTTCTCCTAAGTCATCCTCTTGCTCTTGGTGTTTGTGAGTCATTAGAGGTGTGACACTTGTGACACTAAGGTTTCAGAAGTCAATTACAAGGAGGAATTGATATTGTTATTGCTACATAACAATCAAGGTAAGATCTAAACCCTAATTCATATGTTAATTTGATTATTGTATGCTAGATCTAGGGTTTATGGCTTTGGATGATTATTGCATGTTCATTAGACAAACTAGATCCAAAGCTTTAGGATTTGCATGTACACCATAGGAATGATGTAGTGCTCAAAACCCATCAAAAACAACTATGTTCGAATGCAAATTAAAATATATATAATCACTAATATCTACTTGGCATAGTCACTGTATCAAAATCAGAACGGGTTGAAAAAACTTGTTGAGAAGGTTGTGCCGGAACCACATACTCAATCGTATTTCCTTTAAAGAAATATAGGGCATTATTTCTATAATCCCACCATTCATGTGCACCTTCATTGTAAGAACTAACATCTACTTTAACCCACCGATTGTGAATGAAAACCCAAATAGCCCACAAACGATCTCCAGTTACAGAGAAATATCCCAATTTTCCGTGAAACTTGATCAATCTCGATGCATACGGTTTGAAGTCATTAGTAGTAGAAGGTGCAAATATGAGTATATGTTCTTCTGAATAAATATCAAATCGCAATATGGTATCATTAGATAATAAGAAGTAAACGACACCGTCACTTGTAACTGCCTCATCAGAAACAGGATAAACAGATATGGTAACTGGATATTTTGAAACTCCCTCCATTGCCATGTATTAGATGAAAACAATTATATGTTGTAGTAATCGTAGTCCACTTTTTCCTTGCATATCACTACAAATAAAATAACATATAATAAAGCTATATAAAAATAATATTGAGTGAAAGGATCGGGAACTAAAATCACCAGATTTTTAATAAGTGTAAATTTATCAGATTGATGCAAAAGAGAGGAATAATAAGAGATTTCATTGCATATACTAAAGTTGATTATTAAAATTAATAAAGTTGATTATTAAAATTATTTGAATAGAAATAAAACAGAAGAAAAGAAAACGATTTTAATCCATATTTTTCTGCCACATATTTGAAGCAATTTGAATAACATAAGAATTTGACAATCTAAAAAATAAAGTTTATAGAAACAGTACCTGTTGGTCAATTAAAATCATGTCTAGGCTCCCGACCATATTATGATTGTTTTTATAGGTCTGCTTCCAAAGCAAGACGACTTTAACACGTATGTTCCAAGACTCTTTGGATGCATCGATTTCAGCAACCTTATCAAACACGACCTGATATGCATTGTTAGTTGTCATGGAATACTATTATCTGCAATGAAAAGAGATAATTAGTTAGATAGAAATTTGATTTGGAATGAAAAATCGTAGACACTATATTTATAGGGAAATATAAATTTGGTTAATGCTGATATGACATAAATATTTTGGAATGTAATATCATTTCTATACTTAAAATATGTCTTATGTATGGTATGATATCGAAAATAAGATCAATATAACATGTCAAATATAATTACAAAAATAGATAAAATCATACCTAATTTAAGATAATAATTATCATATAAAAAACTATAAATTTGAAAAGTTTGTAGAATAAGAAAAAAATATAATAAATATATAATACTTTAATAAATATGAAATATAATTACAAAAATAGATTGCAATGAGGAACATGCTAATTCAAAATAACGAATAATGTTCATATTATTTCAAAATATGATTCAAATGATCAATTATTCATTTATGTAAAAAAAACTTGCTGAAAATAATACCTGTGATATTTTTTGTAGATTGTGAAAATTAAGTAAAAAGTTCAATGATTACATAAAAAGATAACAATATTAAAAAGTTGTGATTTATAAGTAAAAATTTAGCATCAAAATATCATACTGGGGTAGACCCTTGCATATCAGCCCGAGCTGTAAATAATCCAAATGGTTGAAATGTTCTACGGTTAGGTAATGCTGATTCAACTATGTCCAAAATCATGTTGCACTCCTTTGCAGCTTCTGATAGAAGTTTCATTTCTCTAATTTTCTGCATTTCGTCAAAAAGAAGAAACTTAGATACCAAAAATGGCAATAACAGGGTTTTAAAAAGGGTATTTCAGTCATTTATACAATTTGTCATTTGGGGATAAAAAAATTACGGATTTTGAGAGCTTACTCACTGGGATAATAATTGTTGCCAATATTGTAGGTTCCCAAGAAGTTACCATATGGATTTTAGGGTTTGCAGTGAAAGCACCTGGATTTTGAACCTCTACTTTGCTGAAATAAATTAATTAATTAATTAATTAAAAAAGAAAAAAAACATTTGACAAAAAAACTATAGGAGTATATTCATTTAGGTCAAAGAGTCAAACCTCACGTCTGAATACTCAAAGATATATGGTACAATTGGAACAGTGGAAATAATATGAGTTCCATATTCCTGTCATTTGCAACACAAATATGCATATAACACTTTCCAAATAAAATTTTATACAAGTTAAAGGCATAGTGTTGTTACTTCTGTTCTGCGTTAGTTAAAAAAAACGATACCTGGGTTCGTTTATCTTCGTTGAAGCTAAGATTTTGAATCTTGATCTCGCCTCTATTTGTAGTCATTTCATCTAATATTTCAGCATCACACAATGTCACTTCATCTTCATCGTTCGCTATCAACTGCATCAATCTCCTGATTATATATACATGTATTTTCTCATGAATGTAGAAAATAAGAAAAACGATATGCTAAATGAGATACATTATATGAGCACGTACCCTAAGATTAAAGTTGGTATGTCGTGATGGACCACCCACGATTTCCTCATACTCGGTTGCATCCAGTCCACTCAAATGATAAGGGTGAAACAGCTTTGGTAGAATGTGTTGTCGTATTGTGATGAGAAGGAAGAATGGAACAGGGAAGAGAATGCCAGCGATAGGTATCCATGTCACACCAAAACACGTAAGGAAATAAACAATCTGGAAGATCGTGAACATGAAAATGGTTCTATATGGCACAGATTCAACAAAAGAAGCGTGAACCCTTTCAAGAACCCTGACAAATTTTGATGATGAAACATTGATATAAGTAATAAGGATGATTTTTAGTGCAAGAATGAAATGTTAAATGTTAACTCACTTGTATCTTCGACTATGGGGAACAAAAATAAGTAAGATTCTTTCCCAAAATTGGTTTCCAGGAAGACTGTCAATGGCCATGTAAGCAAAATAACCCCATAAAACCGATGTAGGTATCAACTTTATTAAGAGAATGGCACATATAGAAACTGCTAAGAGAATCGATTGTAGAAAGTTGCTGACTCTTTGTTCGTTGACACGAACAGGTAAGTAGGCATCGATGTGTTTCTCAGGATCAAATTTCTCCTTTATGTTTTTTCCTTCATTTTCTAAATTCATGACTGCTTCCTGCAAGAATAACTACATGTTAAGACGATATAGAAAATAGCTAAGCCACCAGTTTGCAATAAACTTGATATACCTGTTCCATACAACCAGGATCTTGCTCTCCTACTTCTTAATGCAGTGTATAGAAGTCCAAACGAAAATATAACACCAAGCAAACCATTAGTGTAAAGCCACTGAAATTGATCTTTGGGTGAATTTGGTTCATCAGATTTGGGAGCTTTGAACTGACTCACCAATCCCTAGTCAACAAAACCAGAATTAGTCCAAAACAAACTTGAAATATTGTCTAAAATTATCATCATCGGAACCTTTTTTCTACATGGCTAAATACCTTGATGGCCTCTTGAATGAAAAGTACAGAAAGTAACATCCCAAATGTTTCCCCTGCAATCCTTGTGAATCTACTGATAATAGCACAAGCATTAAAAATCACCAAAAGAAACAAGAGCATGGCTTCCCATGTGCATACCCTACAAAAGTTGTATATACATTAATTGCTATCAACATATCCAAAATTGGAAGATGAAAGAATTTGTGAAAACAGGAGACATGTGGTGAAGGGATTTCTAAAAATATTACCATCCTGCCCAAGCTAAGAATAGTTGTTGACCCAAATCTTGTCTCCCTTTCGCAAAATTATACAAGTATGTATACATAATGATTGTAGGTTCTGCAACTCCAAGTATAAGAAGAGGTTGACCACCAAGAATCGAGTGTATGATGCCACATATAGCAGTAGAAGCCAAAGTCTCCACTGTGCTCAAGCTTCCATCTAGATATTATATATGTAGAAAACATGGTTCAGGTTTACATGATACTCTTGTTGATATACAAGAACATAAATGGTGTTTGGTTATCACCTGGATAAAATCCGGTCAAGGAGTTCTCCCCCTTCACACAGCCTGTTTTAAAATATATATTAGCTATGGAAGAATGATAGCTATCATATATGTAACAATAAGTGTAAAAATAACGAACTCTTCCTCCTTTTCCCTTCCCTCCCTGATCACGAATTTTCTTTGTTTCTCTTCCTTTCTAATCGAGATAAGATCATGAGCGGATAGTTGGGAGGAAAAAGATTTAAAAGTAATTATAGCAACTAAAACAATCGAGATCAGATCATTTGAAGTTTATTCCAGTGTTCATATCGGAATTCAACATTATAGTCAGTTCACACAGATGCAGACAACCATCCTAAAATGGAGGTGATCAGTTAAAATCAATCTATAAAACTTCTTACTGTTGTAATGGAGTAAAGTTATTAAAGAAATTAAGAACGATCAAACATTATGGATCAGAAGACTTACTGTTTTAGCTATGACTGCACCTCAGCCTTCATCGAAAGCTTTTTTCATGACTTTATAGTTGGTCCATGGAGGACCCGACCCGATTACGAATGGATTGGGCATATGTAAGCCATTAACATTGACACTCAGATCAGGTTCTTGTTGCTTTGTTTCTGAAGCAACGATCTTCAAACCGCCAACTCTTGCTCTGCCACTGACACAACGACGAGACAATGGTAAAGCGACGCGGGAGGATGTGAGGCCACTGATATTGGTTAAACCCAGGGAAGACGCCATACTCGTGAAGAAATTCTGAATTTGGGAGAAACATCAAGACGAATTAATCTGGGTAAGCCTACATTTACCCTAACTTTCTAACTCGATTTTCGATTACAAAATTGTTACGTAATACTAATATGCATTACGTACAAGAGTTTATAGAGAAAGATGGTGAAAACTAACAGTATTCGTGGAGGCGTTTGAAGAGGCGAAGTAGGGATTTGAATAAACATTTAGAGAATGATGTGAGTAAATAATCCAACGGTGAAAAAGAAAGATTGAAATGTAACGAATGATGCTAATTTCTTAAGATTATAATTAAGGTTTTCTTTTAATAATATTTAGAGATATTAGGCATTTAAAATTTCCTTCCAAATAAATGTTTAAACTATGGATTATATAATAGTGGCTTTAAGTTTTATATTTATTATTTCTTTTTGTTATATTTTCCTTATAAATTGTACCAATTGTTTTCTAAAACTGGTACATATTAACAAATTCGTTTTTACTTTCATAATTCGAATTACTATGCAAATTGGATTCCATTCTGGGATAAATTTGTATCCTTAAAAATCAGCAAATCACAATAAATCAGAAAGAAAATTATATCTAAAACTGAATCAGATGGTCCATATGGTTGGAGGCGGTGGTATTTTGACAAAAACTTCTTGCTTTTTTTTTTCTGGTACTATTCATGTACAATGCCGATGTGATAGGTGGCCGCACGTGGTTATTTTTTTACATGAGTTTCCTGAAAATTTTATCTTTAAAGTGATGAGCAATCTATCAGATTGTTTAGTTAAAATATTATAATATTGAACATATTCTCTAAGTCTAATATTCAAATGGAACATATTTAGCCCTCATATTTAAAGCTTATACTTCATTTATGTCTTTTTCATTCTTTTAAAGTAAAAAAGAAAGAAAGTGTAATAAAAATGGGAAAAAAACTTAAATCAACAATCTACTCTAATAAATGAAAATCTTTTTGCCAAATGTCACATTCTCATTGATTTGGTCACATGTCATTTTGTGGTTATTTTCAATTAAATTTTTTCCACATGACATTTTGTGGTTGTTTCATTTTTATTAAATTCCACATAATATCTAATTAAATGTACTAATTGCAATAAATATAATAATAAATGCATTTCAATTTCATTAATTGACTTTCCTTTAAATTTCAAAATTTCAAAATTTAAATCCATTATTTTCCTTTATTTATTTATATAAATTATTTGTTTAAATTAAAAAAGAAAACACTTTTATTTTAATAATTCAATATTTTTCCTAATTTTTCTTATAAATTTAAACTTCTTAAATTTTTAGAACTTCATATTTAATTTTTTTTTCTAAATTAACCCATATAATACATGGGTCTTACATCTAGTTCTTAATATACGCAATTAATGATGCAATAGCTAATTATAGGCGATGAACGATTCATTAGTCATTTATAATATATATATATATATATATATATATATATATATATATATATATATATTATATATATATATAGGTAAAGGTTCAAATGACAACCAAATAAAATTAAGAACCATAAGAACCTTTTATTTATAAGTTATTATTAAATTTTTTATTATTTTAACCAACTATGTTATTCAAATGTTTAAAAAGTTATTTTTGTCAAGTTCAAAATTTTCATTATTTTTTTCGTAAGGGTATTTTAGTAATTAACAAATGCAAACAAAAAGTAAACGTCTAATTAAATATATTTTTTAATGAGAATCCTCTATTTTCTACACAAATTCGTCAAAGATTCATATTTCGTGATCTTCACTTTTTACTGAATCGATCGATTCTGTTAATCGATTATGTTAAATTGTTAGATTTTCATATAGATTTAGTTTATATGGAATCATTATCAGTGTTCGTCGATAGTTCGATCTGATTTCAGTTGCTTTCAAGGTGAAGTGTCATCGTTTTCTCTGTCCGATTCAATGTGTGTTCAAAGTAATGTTCAAATCGTATCAGAAACATATCAATTTAATGTGCAATCTTTAGATCAGTTTCAAGCTCAATCTGATGACGATATTGGAATCGAAAGTGAATCAGAAGCAGATATTTCGTTTCCTTCTATAACTAATTTAATTCGTTTTTAAATATTTTAGATGAAAAAATTCCTTAATCTGTTTGTTTTTCATTTGTTTAAGTTATTAATTTTTACTTTAATATATTTTTTTGTTTTTTTTAAGTTATTATTTTTGAGCTGTAATTATTGATGTTCTATCCGTTATTAAGATGTGAATTGGTTTGTTTTGTAGTTGTTTTTGTTTGTAAATGTATAAAATAGTGTTTTTTTGTTAATGTTATTTTTTATTTGTAGTTACATTGTGAATTTTTAATTTTTTTTGTTCATTTTTATAATTTTTTTTATTTTAATATGATAAATTGTTTTTTACATGTAAGTATGATGTTGTAACTGGTATTATAATGTGGTTTTATTTAGTTATGTACTTGTTTTTACATGTAAATGTATTAAATAGTGTTTTGATTTTTTAATCTTATTTATTATTTGTAATTAAACTGTGAATTTTTTAATTTTTTTGTTTTTTATTTATAATATTTGTATTTTTAGTTATAAATGTTTTTTTAATTATAGTTATGATGTTCTAATTGTTATTAACATGTGAATTTGTTTGGTTATGTAGATGTTTTTACATTTAAATGTAATATATATATATATATATATATATATATATATATATATATATATATATTATATATATATATATTAATCTTATTTTCCATTTGTAATTATATTGTGAATTTTCAATTGTTTTGTTCATTTATTTATAATATGTGTCTTTTAATCTGATAGATGATATTATTTTTCTTATCAGGTCAACCTATATTTTCTGATTTTTTCTCTCGTGGTGGAACTCGAAAAATATGGATTCCTAAGAATGTTGATGATGTTAAGCCAAAGTTGTATAGCAAATATCTAAGTGTTGATGATGCAATAAATATGTATAAAGCTTATGCTGCTAAAGCTGGTTTTGATGTAAGAAAAGGTTCTACAAAGTTACACATTAAGTCACGTGTTCTTACTCATCGATCTATGATGTGCAGTAGAGAGGGATTTCCTCAAAGTGTTTATGTAGACACAACTGATTCTAAAAAAAAAATAAAGCTCACAGAAATTCTAATATTAAAAGGAAAGGATGTCCAGCTTTTGCAAAATTTAGAAGAGTAGGAAATTCAAAAGTTTTTGAGTTATACAAATTTGAAGAAAGGCATAATCATGATTTGGTTACAGAAGATTATAGGCATTTCTTGAGGTCTAACAGGCAATTGGACAATGTTACTTAAGAATTCATTGAGAAGATGGGAAGGGTAAAGATTGGTTCAATGAAAGCATACAGGATAATGCAATAATTAGGAGGCTCAAACAATGTTGGAGGGACTATTGTTAACAATGTTGGAAGGAGTGTTATTGACTACAAGAATCAATCTAGAAAAGTGAATTGTTTTATTGAAAAGGATGATGCACAGATGGTAGTTGATAACTATTTAAATAAAATGAAAGAGGATCCAAGCCTTACATTTGAGTTTATATGTGATAAGGGAAAGTTGGTTTCACTTTTTTGGGCTGATGAAGCTGCAAAGGCGAATTATAGAGAGTTTGGTGATGTTGTTTCTTTTGATGCTACTTTTCAGACGAACAAGTAATTTTTTATATATTTTGTTTTCTTATATTATTTTCTTTTGTTGTTTTTATATTAACTTTTGTTATATATTTATTTTTTAGGTATCGTATGATATTTGTTCCTTTCACAGGAATTGATAACCATAGAAAGAGTGTTACTTTTGCAGTTGGTCTTTTGAGCAATGAAACTACAGAGTCTTATTTATGGCTCCTTAAAACTTTTTTGAAGACTTTTGGTAAACAGTCGACTGTTGTTCTCACTGATGAAGATGCATCAATGAAAATTGCAATTGAGAGAATATTTCATGATTCACGTCATAATGTGTGGTTTTATTTAGTTATGTACTTGTTTTTACATGTAAATGTATTAAATAGTGTTTTGATTTTTTAATCTTATTTATTATTTGTAATTAAACTGTGAATTTTTAATTTTTTTGTTTTTTATTTATAATATTTGTATTTTTAGTTAATAAATGTTTTTTTAATTATAGTTATGATGTTCTAATTGTTATTAACATGTGAATTTGTTTGGTTATGTAGATGTTTTTACATTTAAATGTAAGATATATATATATATATATATATATATATATATATATATATATATATATATATATTAATCTTATTTTCCATTTGTAATTATACTGTGAATTTTCAAGTGTTTTGTTCATTTATTTATAATATGTGTCTGTTAAGCTGATATATGTTTTTATTTTTCTTATTAGGTCAACCTATATTTTCTGATTTTTTCTCTCGTGGTGGAACTCGAAAAATATGGATTCCTAAGAATGTTGATGATGTTAAGCCAAAGTTGTATAGCAAATATCTAAGTGTTGATGATGCAATAAATATGTATAAAGCTTATGCTGCTAAAGCTGGTTTTGATGTAAGAAAAGGTTCTACAAAGTTACACATTAAGTCACGTGTTCTTACTCATCGATCTATGATGTGCAGTAGAGAGGGATTTCCTCAAAGTGTTTATGTAGACACAACTGATTCTAAAAAAAAAATAAAGCTCACAGAAATTCTAATATTAAAAGGAAAGGATGTCCAGCTTTTGCAAAATTTAGAAGAGTAGGAAATTCAAAAGTTTTTGAGTTATACAAATTTGAAGAAAGGCATAATCATGATTTGGTTACAGAAGATTATAGGCATTTCTTGAGGTCTAACAGGCAATTGGACAATGTTACTTAAGAATTCATTGAGAAGATGGGAAGGGTAAAGATTGGTTCAATGAAAGCATACAGGATAATGCAATAATTAGGAGGCTCAAACAATGTTGGAGGGACTATTGTTAACAATGTTGGAAGGAGTGTTATTGACTACAAGAATCAATCTAGAAAAGTGAATTGTTTTATTGAAAAGGATGATGCACAGATGGTAGTTGATAACTATTTAAATAAAATGAAAGAGGATCCAAGCCTTACATTTGAGTTTATATGTGATAAGGGAAAGTTGGTTTCACTTTTTTGGGCTGATGAAGCTGCAAAGGCGAATTATAGAGAGTTTGGTGATGTTGTTTCTTTTGATGCTACTTTTCAGACGAACAAGTAATTTTTTATATATTTTGTTTTCTTATATTATTTTCTTTTTGTTGTTTTTATATTAACTTTTGTTATATATTTATTTTTTAGGTATCGTATGATATTTGTTCCTTTCACAGGAATTGATAACCATAGAAAGAGTGTTACTTTTGCAGTTGGTCTTTTGAGCAATGAAACTACAGAGTCTTATTTATGGCTCCTTAAAACTTTTTTGAAGACTTTTGGTAAACAGTCGACTGTTGTTCTCACTGATGAAGATGCATCAATGAAAATTGCAATTGAGAGAATATTTCATGATTCACGTCATCGGTTATGTATGTGGCACATAACCCAAAAGTTGCCTTCTAAGGTATGTATTTTTATTTTTTAGACTGTTTATTTTGTATATATCATCATTATATATTTTTGTTGTTATATTTTGTTTTTTTTAAATGTTATCTGTTTTTGTTAAGTTGTGAATTTTTATGTTTTTTGTTTATGATTTGAATTTTGTTAAATTATATTATTTTTAGTCCATTTTTCATTATGTTAATTATTATATGTTTATTAAGTTGTGAATTTTTTTTGTTTATATTTTTATTTTTAAATATTCACCTGTTAGTATGTTTTTAAGTTGTGAATAATATCATTTTATATGAATTTTATTGTATATGTTATCACTATTTTAATAGTTATATCATCTTTTTATATTTTATTATCTTATATATGTTTTTTATGCATGTGTTCTTTAGGTATGTGCTGAACTTTCTAATGATATGAAATTCAAGAAACGTTTCAATAAGCTTATTTGGAATTCTAGGATAAATGCTTCTAAGTTTGATATTAGATGGGAAAGTTTTATTGAAGATTATAAGCTCCAAGAGATTTCATGGTTTTCAAAAATGTTTGATATGAGAGAAAGTTGGATTCCAGCATATTTTAGAGACATGCCATTGTCTGGTTTGATGAGGACCACTTCTAGGTCAGAGAGCATGAATTCTGCATTCAACAAAGTTGCTCACTGGGGTAATTCATTGGTTAAATTCTTCACTTCTTTTGATTTAGCTATGGACAGGCAAAGACATAATCAGTGTTCACTAAAAATTATGGAACATGCTGCTGATATGTATACTAATGAAGTTTTCATAAAAGTAAAGAAAGAAATTGAACGATCTGTATTTTCATGTTCGCAACACAGTGTTACGAATGAAGAATTTTATCATAGATTTGTTGTTATGCAATGTAAAGATATTATGGGGTCTACTCCAAAAGTTGTTAATGAAGAAGATTCAAAAAGTGAGTGTGAATTTGTTGTTCCAGAAAAGACTTTTTTTTCAAGGTAAATTATATTTTTAAAATTTTTGTTTTTCAAATTTTAAGTTGTGAATTATTAATATTTTTGTTTGTGTTTATTTTGGACAGGTTTTTTATGACAAAAAGGAATCAAGTTTTGAATGCTCTTGTTCATTGTTCTTTCAACATGGTATATTGTGCAGGCATATATTTTGCATTTTTAGGACTTATCAAATAAACCAGATTCCTTCAAAGTACATACTTAGGCGTTGGTGCAAATGTGTAATTCCATCTGAGGTTCTTATGAAGCAATGTTCAAGTGATGAGGCCTCATCATCATCATCATTGTTATATGATCCTCTTTCTCGTCAGGTTTTGAGTTTTGTGGAAGAAAGTGTGTCTATTTTGAGTAAAGATGCGGATAAGCTTAAGGAGTTTTTTGAGCTCATTAAAGAAGCAAAGTTGAAAGTTGATGGTGTTTGTTCTGCATCAAGTTGTTCAGATTCATTGTTGAAAAGAAAAGATATTTTTGAGTTTGTTGAGTCATCCTATGGAGTGAAGAAGCCATTTATTTCTGATATTGGAAACCCTTCAGATGACATAAGTAATAAAGGATGTGGTACATGTAACAGGTTGAAAGGAGCTAGAGAAAAAGCCATTACTGAATCAATTAGACAAAAAAGGTTTTGTTCCAGATGCAAACACTATGTTATTGGTCACAATAGTAGGTCATGTGAGCATTTGGAAAGACAAGCAAAAGAAAAAGAAATGTGTTCAAATGGCAAAAATATGGATGCACGATCTATTTGAGAGATTTTGAAGATTTTTATCTTTTAGTTTTTACTTAATAATAGGTTCTTTATATATAAGATTTTTATCTTTTTGAATTGAATAGTATTTGTTTTGTACTCACACTTTTATTTGTTTAAATATAATGAATTTTACTTAATAATAATTGTTAAGTTTGATATTATTAATATCTATGATTATTGATATTATATCAATATATTGTATTTAACAACTATGACTTTTTTAATTATGTTTCTAAAATTTTTGTGTATGTTATTCACAACTTAAGTATTATATATCATTAATATATATTGTACTCAAAGATAATAGTTATGTTTCTTAATTTTTATTTTATTGCATACTGTTGTCTTATATATATATCAAGTGCATTCAAATGTTTTTTAAAAAAATTTATCATTTTTTTAAAAAATTTAAAATATTCAATTCACAACTTAATACTTTAGTCATTTCGTTTTAATTTAAATATTCACAATTGTCAAAGTTATGATAAACATTCATTTTATTAATAATTTTTATATCAACATCAACAATTAACTAGAAATTCATATTTAGCTAAGAAAATATATCATTCCAACATGTTCACCATGTGTGCAAACATTACCCAAAATAAAAACATCATAAACACCATATTTGTTCAACTAGATAGAGGTCTTCAATAGCAGCTAAGCATTTATAAAAATAAAAACAGTATAAATTTATTTTTTAGTTTTCACCAATCAACTGAAACCTTTCCTCATAGTTCTGCATTCCATGATTCACAACTTGTTTTTGTTCTTCTGTTGTCAGCTTTTCAAACTCCAGACCGTCTTCTATTATCTTGTTGTTGTGGATATTGATATCATTCACCAAGATCTTTGTAACATATTTGGATCGAAGTTTCGTCAATTGTGTTTTCTGCTGCTTTTGATCTTTTTCAATCTCAGAATCCCAGTTATTTTGCCCTTGTCCCTTGAAAGTTTCCATATGTCTCATCAACATAACTACATTGTCGTTCTTGTTGTTTTCTATCCACCACTTCAGTTTAAAAATCACAACTTCCTTCTTCATTAAATCGTCTGCTTTTGGGTGTTTTTTATCAATCAAGTACGATATCATGAAATTGAACTGTATTCAAAAAATTTATCAGTAATGATAATGAGATATAAAATTCACAGTTTAAGTTTTAATAGAAAACATTTGCTTTTTTTCTAAGTTATTAATTAATACTCACCAAATAATATGGCAACATTTCATAAGTATGCACAATCTCTCTTGTGGTTTTTTCATTGTCAGTCAGATGTACACTACATTTTTGCAATTTGAAGCAAATGATGTAGTAGTGCTTTCTGTGCAGTATTGGGAAGAATATTTGCATTAATAATATAGTTGAAATTGTTAGTACTTTAATATAAATATTTGTATATATACAATATAATTATAATAAAAAGTAATAAATAGTTTTTTCTTACAATTCCAACTTTTTTAAAATCCTTCAGGTGTGTGTTGTTCTTCATAGCTTCATTCATTTTTTCTTCAAACTTTTCCAATCTCTTATCATATGCTATATCCCTATCCAACATTTCATTGCTCTAGGAAAAAATGAAAATGTTATTTTATTAAATTATCATTATTTATTTTATATCAATATTAAAAGTCTATACTTATATTTTAAAATATTTTTGACCACCATTCCTGTTGGGAAGTAGAAGCATAATGGTGTTGTATTTGCTTTACGTTTCTCTTCATCATTCAATCACATCGACCAACAGTTGATTAATTTTGGGTGGATCCATGCACTTGGTATTAATGTTTCAAAAAATATCATTTCCACTTTATGTCCATGCTTTGTTTCAGATATTATTTCTCTGTTTGATTAATATAAAATTATTAAATTTAATTTTATTAAGTTGTGAACATTAAGTTGTGAATACTGATATTAGTGTTTCTTTTTATCAAGAAAAAAATAAAAATAGTTGAAAAAAGTTGTTTTTATTTTAGTTTTGTTCATATTTACATTTTTATTCACAACTTAATACAATTAAATATAATGAAGTTTTTAAATATTATTTATATTAAAACCATTCACTTACTTGTGATCCTTTTGTAGTGAGAATATGGATTTTGAAATCCTTGTCTCAACAGCTTCTAATTTTCTTCTCACTTCAAATGTCCGCCTCATGTAAGGTGATTGGTAAGACTCTATTTTAGTTGGTGTCCTCTTTGATCTTTTGTAAACTTGTTTTTCTTTTCCTTCTCCTTGATCATTCTTTTCTTCAAGTATGTTTTTTTCATTTCCCTTTTCTTCTTTGTTGTTTGTTGTTCCTGTAAGATATATTGTATAGTAGTCATTTTAATTGAAAATGTAAGTTTGTTTCTAAGTTATATTTTTGTTTTTCATATTACCTTCTCCTTGAGATTCGTTGGTAAGAAAATCCTTTTGTTCAGCCTCCATATTTGGTGTGTTTGACATATTATCTTCAAAGTTTGGACTATCGTATTTTGTTTCTTTTGTAGCATTTTCTTCACCTTTTTGTGTTTCTAAGTGATGTTCAAACTCTTTTTCACCTGTCTCATTTTCATTTTCTTTTTCTCTTGTTCTTGATGATTCGCCAATGCTTTTGTTAAACACTTTTTCAATGTTCACAAATCTTTCAAACCATCCACATAGTTCTCTATCATCTGGATATTTTTGAAGTGCATGCTGCAATGTTTTTTGAATTCTGTTTCTACACTCCAAAATGTTTTCAAACTCACTTTCTATCAAAAGACAATAGTTCTGCAATAATTATTAAATTATTGTTAGTTTATATGTAATATTTTTATAAAAAATAATTCACAATTTAATATCTAGTTCACAGCTTAATAGAGTAAGTTCCATTATTACCTCTGCACCAATGTCATCATTTTCTTCTGTATCTGCATCTTTTTCAACTTGTTTTCCTTTTCCTTTTTCTTTGACAAAGTCAACATCTTCTTCATCTTTGTATTGTATCAAATCATTGTCCTGAACCAATGTGACCAATCCTAACTGACCTTGAGCTTTTTCAATGTTTTGCCTTGATTTAATTTTTCCATAATTCCAGTAGCATATTGGTCTTATTTTTCGGTTGACGTATTGGTTTTGACAATCAGTTGAATGTAGATAGAGAAGCTGTGAATTATTTTCTAACAAATTAAAATGTTATTTATTTTAATCACCTTGATGATATCGAATGCAATTTAATTTAAATTTTACTTACAAGCAAGAATGGAAGTGGCCCAGCATAGTAGACACCTTTGTTTCTTGGTTTCCATGAAGTCATACTATGTGGCAATGCATCACTAAGATATTTGCACCAGTTTATATTTTCCCAGTTTTTAATTCTGCCGATCTTCATTGTAATGCTTGGTTGTAAACCTCCACAAGATTTTTTCTCTATCATTGTATTCACAAACAATGTGATGAAATTTAACACAAACATTTCATCTGCAACTTCCGAGGCTTCTATAAGTTCACAAAGAGTTTGTTGTGATTTTGTTACTTCAAGATGTTGTTGTTTCCATTGGACAATAATCTCATTTTCTTCCTCACACTCATTCACAGTAGATAAATCTATTCCTGATTTTGGTATTCCAAGGATCTAATAAACTTTTTCTTCATTTATCATCAATTTTATGTCCCCTAAATCAATGCAGTTTGAAGTAGGGTTATATCTTTCAACAACAAAATGTACTAGAACTGATGGAATTGTATTAAGTGATGTTTCTGATATTGCCTTGAAACCTAATCTTTCTAAACATTCTTTCTGTTCCTGCTTAGAGATTTAACAGTAGTGTACAATGCTTTTTTGTCACTCTTGTTCTCAATGGTGGGAAATTTTCATCATCATTAGCATCATCTTGTTTATCTTGCTTCT